CCTGCTGAACAAAACAGCCTTCTCACTCCAGGCAGCTCTTCAGCAAGAAGCCCTGGCAGCTCCGGACCTCATCTGATCAAATGGCCATGCTCTACATTAACAGTAACTAGGGATTTAACAGGCCAAGTGCTGGAGTGACTTTGTGAGTGAAGGTTTCAGTCACTGCTGAGTCTTCCCTGCAGATCGATGGTAAGAGGCAGCAGGGCTAATTGACCCAGGGTTGTTTTAGTCCCAACCCTCTCAGGTATATTTTGAGCCTAAAATCATCGTGGTTCTTTTCCCCCACCTCCTCTCCTTTTCCCTGCATATTTTTCAAAGGGAGACTTTCCTCTGCATGACGATAAATTTAAGAAATGCTATCCAGACTTTTCATTGGTCCAACATTCTGCTTTTGAATACCAGGGTGACATTTGTGTAAACATCAGTACATATATCTATCAAAAATGCACACACAGTACCATATGAATCAATGCCTCTCCTTCTAAATGCTCCTTGTGTTTCACCGGCAGGAAGGGAATGTGTACTGTGGGCTGAAGACGTGTCCCAAACTAACTTGCTCTTTCCCAGTTTCTGTTCCGGAGTCCTGCTGTCCAGTTTGCAGAGGTAAGTCCTGGCCCATCTATAGGAGGTCACAGGTTTGAATTTGCTTCTTCTCCTGTCAGAGTCCTGCCAGACCTGTGTGCTGCCACTCAGGCCTGCACTTTTCCCATTTACCTTCAGTAGCAAATGTGGGAAAATTTAACCTTGCATTCCAGCAGTGAACCGTTTCTTGATCCATTTTCCTAAACTGAAACAGGGGAGAAAGCACCGATGGCAAAGTTGCATCCCTACCAAGAGGTGAATCAAGGGTTCATACAATGAACTGAAATAGCTGCCACAGCTCTGGGTAGAAAAGGTCTGAATTAAAAATAAGCCCCTATCAAGTTACCAGACCAGCTCTAGCTGTACACGACACAAGAGCTTCAATTCAAAGGATAAGGCGAGTTGCTCTCCTTTACACTAGGTGCTAACCTATATTCAGATAATTTGGGGATTTTACTAGTAATTGCATCTTAGATCTTGCACACACAGGGAACTTGAGTCTCCAGAAGTGCTGCCAGCCCTCGCATCCTTCCCAAATGTCCAAGCCTACAAGTTTGTCTAAAAGCCTATGTAAATGCCTAACAATTTCTAAATGCATTTTATCTCATCATTGACACTGTGGCTTTTGAATTACCATCTCGAGGGTCTCTAAGCACCTTTGGACAGTTCTCAAAGATGCAGACAGGACATAATGGTGTTTATAGTTTTCAGATGTGCCGCTCTATTGAGATGAGTGACACCAGGCTGCTTTGAAAATCTCTCCCACTTGCATCTCTGTGCACCTTCCATAGCGATGCAGATTTGAAACCAACCTGTTACAGATATAAAAATCAAAGTTTTGCTGCAGAAATCAGTCACTGAAACCAAAGAGGCAATCATTAAGGAAAATAAGATCTTTACAAGTAGTATTTTCGTATAAAATTAAGAGATTAAATTTGATTATGCAGTAGAAGAGACCCAGTGTCTCCATTTTTGCAGACTTTTTTCTTGAAATGTTTCCTACTGTTTATAGTCTTATACAAAACCCTTAAGAATTTTCATTTCTCTCCTACCCAACCATATCCTTTGCAACATGGCTCAAGCTGTTTTATCTCCCCCTGTGATGCCTACAAAATGCAAACCTAAGTGCAATGTCGGCACCAAGACACCAGCACAGCTCGGGGGGAGGAACCTGAGAGTCAATTCCTGCTCCCTGCACGGCCAAGAAATACTAACACAACATATTCAAACTTGCTGAATATCCCATTCATTTCTCCACTAGAATGGAGCCACTAGAGAAGGCTCCAAACCCTACAGCTCGGATGTTAGTTTACAGCAGGATCCATCTTCTATTAAGTGAAGGGCAAAGCTCTCAAACGCTGCAAGCAGAGAGCACGCAGGGTGCAATGAAGAGGTGGGTCCCTGATGGATCCCACTGAGTTAAATGAACCGAGCCGGGCCCCGGACTGGCATCATTCCCATATCAGCACCACGGCTCTCGAGGCAGCCCCCCCGTTTGTGTGTCCCGCGGCCGCGCGGCGCTGATGCTGCCGGTCACACGGGCCGCCGGGGCCGGCCGCGGCGCCGCGTCCCAGCCGCAGCTCCGCTCGGAGCCACTCGCTTTTATCTCTGTCTCTGTCTCAGCTCCCAGGCTGGGGAAAATGCCAAGCTCGGCTCCATACTGAATGATTTCTCCTCATATAATTTTTTCAAGAATTGAATGTCAGTTCAAGCTTCATAGCTCATCGTATCAAGGAGTATCTCTCATTACGACTTTAAAACCTCTTTAAACCGCATTCTCTTTCCACATTCCCTCTCCCTCCAACCAGAACTGATTTTTCCCTGTGAAAGTTTCTGCGGTGGCTCCTGCTCAGTAATGTTTGTATTTATGAAGCCGCCTTTACCCAGCAAGCAGCTAACACTGCTCCTAAGCAGAAAAAAACCTTCCCTCCAAGCTCCCTCTCTGCAAATGACAGGTTTGGCTGTGAGGAACCGAGCCTGGCCCTGTGAGGCCCTCACGGTGTCTCACCAACTTCTCTCCTTTTGCAGCACAAACACAGACTGCCCTGCAAAATCCCTGTCTCTTTTCCAGCAGAATGTCCTTACTTTGCTGTGAATGCACTAGGTGTTGAGAGTCTTACTCTGCAGTATTTTATTTGCCTGCTTTGGAACAGCAGGGCTGGACAGTTCACACTCCACACATGCAAACAGAGGTTCCTACGTGCTTAGATGGGATCCAGCCGCAGTGGGCCCATTTCTCATACATCCTGACGTAACTCTCTGCATGCGCCTGAAACAGCTTCTGCTTTTTGTTTAGTGCACTATGCACTCGGCAGTGTCATTCCTGTTTAGCAAATAGTCCATCTTGGCAGAGGTCTGGCCTGCAGGAACAGATGACAGAGCCTCCCTGCTTCATATCATACCTAAGAGATGAAGTCCAAATTATCAGTTTCTCTTAAATGAAGAATAAATAAATAAATAAATACATAAGCACATAAATCCAAGGGTAAACAAATGCAACTTGCACTTTAAACTTAGCTGTAAGGTTAGGTGAGACTTCTCTCCTAAGTATCATAGAATCACAGAATGCTTAAGGTTGGAAGGGACCTCTAGAGGTCATCTAGTCCAACCCCCCTGCACACGCAGGGTCACCTAGAGCACGTGGCACAGGACTGCGTCCAAGTGAGTTTGGAAGATCTTCAGAGAAGGAGACACTGATCAGGTCCCCTCTCAGCCGTCTCTTCTCCAGGCTGAACAGGCCCAGCTCCCTCAGCCTCTCCTCATAGGGCAGATGTTCCAGGCCCCTGATCATCCTTGTAGCCCTGCGCTGGACTCTCTCCAGCAGCTCCACATCTCCCAAGGCATTACATTGTTATTCCCCTACGTGATCCCGTTCTGCTTCGCTTGCAGGAGATGGAGAATTATCCTGGGAGCACTCCGACGGAGACATCTTCCGGCAGCCGGCCAACAGGGAAGCTGTAAGTGGGGCCTGCAGTTTAAAGATACATTTTCCTGCTGTGCTGTGCATGCAAGTACTTTGGGGAAAAAAAGTAAAAGGATGTTACTAGGTCTGACAAGGTATAAAAATATCTACTGCTACGTCCTGGGTTCTGTAAATCTAACCCAAAATTGATTTCTTCCACTTCTACAAGCTGCTTAATAAACTCAACCTGAATTCATGAACAATTCCAAAAGACAAACTCCAGTCAGCTCCCATGGGCTCTGGATTTGCTCTTCTGGATTGGCTGTATATGCCACCAGTGAATAAAATACCGTGGTATTTTGTCATACAAAAAAAAAAAAAAAAGATTTACTTTTCAATCATAATGACAAACATTTCTCAGCTGACATATCCACATTTACTTCAGGGCTTCACTATCTCCAGCGTTAAGAGTAACAATTAACAGTATATTTCATATGAGAGGATTTTGAGGATTCTTACGGTAGCATTCAGAGAAAATATGAGGAGTTTTTAAGCATTCAGAGGCACGACCTCAACACATGAACCACCAGGTCTTTGCATTACTGAGAAGAACTGTGCCTTTCACCACAGCTGCTGTAATACACACTCTCCCTTCATGCTCACGGACATTTTGGAAAATAATTTTCCAAAAACAACCATAGTATTTTTGCTCTAGAAAACACACTGCACGGACTACTTTCTTCTGCACATGGAATGAAATGTTGCAGTCTGCGAGCTCAGCCAGTCTCTAGTCTGGCTGTGCTTCGCCTGTGCAAGCGGGGTTGCACCAGCTCTAGCAAGGAGCACAAAGCTGCAGCGGGAGAGTCATCCTCACCGTGTATTTTATTCAGTTAGGTGCCATCCGTTATACTGCGAGCCTCTTTGATGGCAGTGGCAACACACTTGCCTGAACTCCCCTTGGAGCGCAGCCTCCTGCTCGTGTTTGCTGGGCAGGCCGCTGACCTTGCTGCTTTCTGTCTGCAGAGGCACTCGTACCCCCGCTCGCACTACGAGCCGCTGCCCAGCTCGCCCAGGCAGGCGGGCAGCGCCCCGCGCTTCCCGGGCGCCAGGAGCAACCGCGGCGTCCTGCCCGACCCCCAGCAGGCATCGGGGACCATCGTGCAGATCGTCCTCAACAACAAGCACAAGCACGGGCGAGGTAAAGAGCAGTCTTTATTACACCAGTACTTGGGATCAGGTATCTGCCACCTAGAGCTCTAAAAGCTGCCCAATATATAGGGCAGAGTCTTGCAAATTCACACTGGGACCAAGAGACCCAAATCGGAAAGCTGAAAAGCAGTAAATGATTCAAGGTATGAAAATAGCTCTTGACGGGAGTCTGCATGCCTGCACATGGGACACAGGTGCCTGTCACTGCCTGGGCATTGCTCCATCGCCCATCTCTGTGTCACTTTGCAGCACGGGGCTGGAGGGCACCACCAGCCTTTGGATTTGCTAACAGGTTCACAGAGAGCCTTGGTCAGTAGGAAACAACTGATCTGTGGTTGTTTTCTTTATGTTGTCTCCTATCCTGTAACTTAAGTGCCTGTAAGCAGCATGTGTGCAGCCAGTGCTCCACAACTGCACTAGGTTATGGGGACGTCAGGACTTTAAGCTTATACATCAAACACAAAATATCCCGCCTGCATTGCAGAAAGGACAAAAGCAGAGGTAGGGGGGACAGCAGAAAGGGTGGAATGTCCCATTCCAGCTTGCTCCTGTGGGTGCAGAGGCTTGCAGGAGCACAACTAAAAGCCATAAAAGAAATAGGTGTAAAGGGCAACCATAAAGAACAGCTACCCACAAGTACCAGTCAGTGCACACTCCAGAGCAACCCACAAAGAGTTAAAAGCCCTTGTATTATGGCCAACTAATCTTTTAAGGTATTAGAAAACAGCAGGAATATTTCTGGACGCCGTATAGTAACAGCCACAACTTCAGACAGTCACTGCCCGGAGAGTGTCTGAGAGGTCCCCACAATGGAAACCAGAATGCTGACCACGTCTTTTCTTTTGTTCTTGTGCAATTAACAAGTATTTTATTAATTAATGCACATGCCCCTTGAGACACATTTCAACAAGCTAAAAAATAAACATGCAAATACTGTGCAGTTGCACGGATAGAGATTTACGATTCCGAACATAAAGAGCACTGAAAAGACGACATGTGCCGTATTTTGGCTTGTACTGGAGGCTTCAGCTGCTACTCCAGAGTACTTTGTTAAACACATCCTTAAAACAGCAAGAATATCTATCCACGTGATATCAGGAAAAAATCACAGAGCAAGTATGTCCCTAAGAAGTCTAGGAAATTCTAGGAGAAAACGCTACATAAGCATCAATATAACCAATAATACATCATTTAATCATATAATAAACCTAAATACTTACCAATTCTATCTCACTTATACTTGCTTTCTCTCATATTCTGACTATACAGATAATACTTAATTCATTTTTATGGAAGAAGCAAAACTGTTTTTTTACATTTGTAATAAAAGCAGTTCTTAGGAAAGAGTTAAAAAGTAGCAAATTATAAACCAAATGATGGCATAACCCCATGAAAGACAATACATTACAAAGAACACCCACCATAAATCTCAGTAACTCAGTAAAGTATAAGCCAGTTGGTCACATCTGTTACCAGTTAGATGTAAATTTCAGATTACAGATAAAAATTAAATTGCTTTTGAAAGTTACAGGCAAAATAGGAACATATTTTACAAATAAAAGCATTAATAAAAATGATGGCATATTAGAAGAATTGGAAATATTTACAACATATCCCAGCTTCAGATCAGTTGCTCTTAGAAATCAGGCAGTGCCCTTTCCTTCACCTTGTTAGGATTAGTTTGCATTTTTCTTTGTGTTTATAAAATATTTAGAAAGAAAGAAGTATAGTTTATAGGGCAAATGCAGACATGCTGTAAAGTGATATAATTCCCTTTAGCTGTAGGGTGACCCAAACTGCCTTCTACCAGGTATGGATTTTCTCCACTCTCATTTTGCCAGCTGTATTTGTCTCAGGGGCACTGATGAATGAATATTTTGAGATGCTTAGATGCTGTTGGAATGAAATTTCATTGCCATATGCATCTTCTCATGTTAATGTTATCTTTGGATTACAAAAATCAAACACCTCTACATACCTATAGACATATCTATCTCCCTCCAAAAATAAAAAGTATCAAACTTCAGTTTTCAAAATTATCCTGCTCTACTCTATGTGTTGTGTAGCAGGCCGGCCCATGTGAAAGCAATAAAAGTCCCATGTGGCACTAATCCACCCTGCTGATAGCAAGGCTCTCCCTGCAAAGGCAGCGCACAGCTAATGGTGAGAAAAATTGTGCAGATGGCTCAGTAGCAAATGTCATGATGTTGTTGGGTGCAGATTTAATTGCAGAAGCCAGAGCCAGTTTAGCAGCTGTGTCCTGTGTGTGACTGAGAGCACGAAGGGGGAGAAGGAGAGTGTTTTATAAGCCAGGTAATGATGCACAACAGAAACGCATGCACTGGCAAAGATCTGGTCAAAACCTAGAACAGCCACCTTCACTGTTCTGCTGAAATTAGTCAGGGACATCAGTGTTGGCAGAGTTGGAATGAAGGCAAAGCTGTTCAGAAAAGAATGATCAAAAGCTTATACTCATTGTCTTTTAAGGGGCAAAACTCCCACTAAAGTTATCAGGCAGTGGAATGGGCCAGAGATGCTAACAAATTATGTACAAGGATACTGCTTTAAACAAATGTGCATGAAGCAATCTAACACTGAGGTGAGCATACCTTTTCCAGTTGTATGTTTTCTTCATTTTCTCTTCTTTTGTAGTGTGTGTTTCAAATGGCAAAACATATTCACATGGTGAATCTTGGCATCCTAATCTCCGGGCCTTTGGAATTGTAGAGTGTGTGTTGTGCACCTGCAACGTCACCAAACAAGAATGTAAGAAAATTCATTGTCCAGAACAATATCCCTGCAAATACCCTCAGAAAGTAGAAGGAAAATGCTGTAAAGTCTGTCCAGGTAAAACAAAAAGTTGATTGCAGACAACCTTCTTGCTGTGCATGTTAAGGGGCTTGGCTTGGTCACGAGACGTCTCATGAAACCAGCACGAGCTGTGCCCAGTGATCCTGTCTGTGTGCAGGGACAGCCAGAGCAGTCCCCTCACTGCTCCTCTGCAAGCCTGCCTGGGGCACACAGGTTCTCATTGCTCACTGACTTTCCCTCTAGTATTAGCATGGCTTCTTGACACTCATTTCCACAGAGAGGGGTACAAAAACACGCACAGAAAGTGCACGTGCATGTGCAGTGCCCTCGAAGACTCTCCTCTGCTGCCCCAACCGTGGAGCTCACAAAACATGCAGATCGTTTTACAGCTTGCAAGATTTGCATGGAGATACTATATCAAAAGCACTGATTACAAAATGATTTGTCTCAATTATATAATTTAATCCTTGATATGAATACTAACTTAATACAAGCTTAGTATTACCTTTCTGTGCTGCGCTAATCAGTAAACTTCTGTATCATTACTTAGTAAAATTAATGCCACAACTAATCTGCTGATCTACCGGCAGGTCTGCCAAATGACCAGCCATGTTGCATATGACATAAAGAGCAAAGGCGTATCCTATTGCATTTCATTTTTGATTTGTATGGCCCATCCTGTTTGTTTGGTGATGCACTGGGCAGAAACACTCTGAGGAAATGAGTTGTTCATTCCTGAACAGACCTGGTCGCGAAGGCACGTCCCACTTCACTCCCTGGGAGGGAGCGCAGCGCAATGGCCGTGGGTAGGTGGGAGGCGACCAGCTGGATCCCTCTGGATGTTAGTGAATACTGGGTACCCCCTGGCTTTTATGGGGCTCATTCGAAAATGAGAACAGTCAACAAAATCTAGCTGACTGGCTTGAATGGAAAAAGTATAGTAAAAAGAAAGTTACTGACTTTTTCTTTGAGATCTTATGTGTCAGTTTTTAAGAAAGTTGAGCCTTTCTACTCAGTCTGTCTGATATATGTTAAGATGTATTTATTACTAGGTTTTACCTCAAGCTGGAGAACTTACTAAGTCTGACTTTCTCACTAAACTGCATCTTATATCTCTCTTACATTCTTGTCCGACTTCCAGTGACCACCAAAATATTTACGATTTCAATTGTATGGCCCATTATTCATCCAGGTGGGCAGAGATAAGGCGCAGCGGGGCTCCTCCGGGCCCGCACACACCTAGAGCTGGCCACGTTCTTGTGGGCCTGCTGGCTCGCTGGCTGCTGCCGAGCAAAACGCAGGATGTGTCGGTTCTCCCTGCTCCTCCCCTCAGCAAAACACTAACTGGGGTCTCTTCACTCTGTCCAACCGCTGATTTTCATTTAGTTATTTAATTACCTCTGAGACTTCTACCATTATTTCAGATCTGCTAGAAAAGTGGACAATGGGCTCAAAAATTATGAGGATACTGATAGATCAATAGCATAGCTATATACAGCTCATTTCCTTAAGAAACTGGGTTATAAATCCATATACTATCTCTCTACCGTGCACAGGCATTCAGAACCAAGCAGAATAGATATGGTTAAAACTATAATATGTGTTTTGGTTTTTGTGCTTTTTTATTTTTCCTCAACAGAAGAAGCGCCAAGTCAGAGCTTTGACAACAAAGATTTTTTCTGTGGCAAAGAGACATTGCCTGTCTATGAATCCGTTTTCACAGAGGAAGGAGAAACCATCAGAAAAATTGCAGTAGAGACTGAAAAGCCACCTCAAATAGAAATACATGTGTGGACAATTAGAAAAGGTGAGTTAGGCAAGTTCTTTCTTTACACAGCACATCATTCTCCATTAAAATCTCAAGCCTGGATGCTGAGTGCAGTCCTTCTGACTGGCACAGCACCATGACAACCCCTTCCAGCATACTCAAATTTTGCTACACAAAAGCCTTAATAAACCCCCAAATTCTAGTTCTGAAAGTGCCTGGCCTTCACTGTGAGCAGGCAGATTGTCAGAAAAACGCTATGTCATTTATCACTGAGAAGCAGACAGCCAAGGTTTAACCAGCTGCTTGAAGGTTCTTATTTAGCATAGATGAAAAAGCTTTCCAGTGAAAACAGCCTTAGTGATGTGTTACTACATCTGTAATGGTCTAAACTACCAGCAAGAAGTATTTCTTGGATGGAAGTAGTAATTTTCAGCAGAACAACTGGTACAGTTAGAAAAAAACTAGAAAACTTTCAGAAGCCCAAGCATTTCTGCAAGTCTTCAGCAGTTAGTATGACAAAAAATACTTTCTCCAGCCCCCTGCAAATTTTACCTACTTTAAGCAGAAAGCATGTAATTCTCGTAGGAGAAGTGTGTTTAGCGCAAGCCTTTTCCATGTAAACGATACACTTCCAGATTTCTTTTTCAAGCACAAAGCCAAACCCGAACTGTGACCAGAAGAGCAGTCAGAGGCTCTGATGGTTAATAAACACCCTGTGTGTTCAAGAAATGATGATTTGACAGTGATGTTGCCTGCTGGCTCATGACAGGCAAAATGATATCTGACAGCAAAATGATAGTGCTTTTCTTCAGGACACGGGGATTTTGGCTTCTGCTCTAATCTTGCATTCACTCGTACTAGGGAAAGGTTTGGCTATGGTAGAAAAGTGTCAGCTCATTCTCCCCCTGCCCAGAAACTCTCTGCAACCATAAACTCACGCAAGAAAAACATGGAGGTAGCAAATAGAGCCAAAGGGAATAGGCTCAAAATGCAGGTTGCTGGTCAGGATTTGGGCGCGC